AGAAATCCGTTGCATTTAAGGAGGTAAAAAATAGGCTGTAAGTAAAGAAACATCTACAACTATTCACTTCACTTCTTTCCTGGATGAGTTGCTTATCAAAATAAATTCTTTTAATCAATTTAAACCATTTGATAAGGCTGAAAAGTAGCATGTGTCTTTTGTTTTGATTTAAGAGGGCGTGGCAATCAGCGGTTTTTGGGTTTGACAGATGTAAACAACTTTTTAAAAAAAATATTAAAAATACTTCTAATTCAGCTAGAGCAAAAATTTAAACTGCATTACAAAGAAAAAGAATGAAATTTTATGTTTCAATCAAAATTAAAAAATCGATTTGTTCATGGATTTTCGTGAAGTGACCCCCTTTTAAATAGCTAAATGTATTGTTAGGTATTTATTACGCACCAGTTAATAAGAAATTTTAAAATACTGACTAATAGTTGTTTGACACAATCTCTTTTTATCTCTAACTCGGAAGACTTCTTGTTCGAATTTATGCAGAGAAGGAAATACTGTGTCATTTATATTCTACTGCATTTTTGGTGTCTTTTCCCAGTTTTCAAACAATGTAAAGCATAAGTTAATGTAACAGCTTTGATAGGTGTTTCATTATCAGTTTCTTCATCAAAATCGCTATTCATTGGCTCTAACAAATCAAGAATTCAGTTGCGCAGATAGGTAGTCCGTCATCAAATGTGACATAACCGTTAAAATCTTAAAATATACTCTGCGTTGTGGAGTGAAATGCAATAAGAAAGAAGTTCCCCCTGTCCTATTCAAAACTCACACGAGAAGCTACCCTCATATGTACCTATAAATCTAATAACGATCTGCCCTTTTCCTATCGAAATTTGTTTCTTTCTAGAAATCTTTTTCTCTTCCGGATAAAAAGAATTTGTCATTAGAAAAATCAAATTTTTTAACACAAACTACAGTCGGGCCCTGATTTAAGGAATTTTCTCTTTCTCTAACTTAAATAAAGGCAGAAACCCTTATTAAATGAATAATAATCCCCGAATTACTTCAATAACCGAATTTTTTTATTAGTTTGCGTTAGAAAATATTCGACTTTTTTTTTCTAAATGACATCCTTTTTGTCCAGAACAGAAAAAAGATTTTTCGTGAAAGGAACAAACTTTAACGTCCAAGAGTGCGGAGGTTTATTAGACTTAACAGAAAAGAATCATAAATGTAAGCTATCGTATGAGTTCTGAATAGGACATGAAACTCCTTTCTTACCTCATCCCTCTCCCCAACGCATAAGAATATTTTAAGATCTTAACTATGTATACATATTATATTTCATTTGAGGACGGACTGCCTTATCTGTGCAATTGAAGTTCAGGGAGCTGTTGATTTGGCGGAGTCACTGAATAGCGATTCTGAATAACAGCGAATATTTTTGTAAAAATGACTGACTAGCCTCGAAAACATGTTTTAGAGAAGTGCATAAATGGAACAAAAATTGATATTTAGTGACACCTGGATTGAAATATACATAAAAAATTGTTTCAAAAATTTTATTACAGTAAAAATAAAATTTTAAATGCAATTTTTTGGCAAAAAATGAAGAAAGGAAGACATATAAAACCTTTTTCCTCTTAAGGAAAATGCTTCTATAATAATAACAGTTTTCCTATTTCTCACTCGGACCTCCATATAAGGGTTAAACTAGGAGTTTTTGAAATGTATAGCTTAGAAAGGTATTTATTCATATTTTAATATATCATAGTAGAGAAACTACTACAAAAAACACCTGTTATAACTTCAATTAATTGTGACTAAAAATAATGTGAATTTTTCAAAAATCCTTCTTCAGCCTATATAGAGAAGTCATACCTGTATATAGGCAAAATATCATTATTACAGAGCCATTTTTCGTAAGGGGAGAAAGCTTTGAAATGTAGCATTCATTTTCTGCGCCAAAAGATTGCATTTAAATACTTTTTTCTTTTAATAACATTCTTAAATCTAATTCAACTGACACTAAATATCAAAAAATTATTCATTTATACGCTATTTCAAAAACATGGTTTCGAACGTAATCATTCACCTTCGTATTCAACTGATAAAAAAAAGTAAAAATTCAAACGCAATATTTGTGACCCAATATTCAATCATAATTTTCATCGACCTCCCCTTCTCCATACACTAACAATGTATTAAATTCAACAATGCAAGATTTTCAATTCGACTTCATTTTATGTGTCACCGGTGTATATAATTGCCTCTCTCAGCCAAAGCGTTAGTTGCCCCGACGTATATATACGTCTTTCCGAAGTAACATCTTTCCTGTGCACTGCTATTCATAAAATTATTTCAAAGTCTTTTTAATGTTATAAAAGGACCTTGAGAGTGTTTGTGAAGGATTTTTTTTTTTACTTATTTCAAAGGATTTAATTATTTTATACCTTTTCTCTCCCCCAATACACCATATACGTGCTTCAACGTGGAAAACGGTAGCATTGAGAGCGAATCCCGTAACTTTTAATCAGCAATTAAGGGATTAATTATAAATCGTACAATCTAACAAGATAAGTGTGTTGATTTCTGTATACATTTTATGTATGACAAGTTAATTATTAAACTTGTTCTTAATTTAGTATTTATAAATTAATTATAAAAAAAACATTGCGTGTAGTATAAATACATTTATAAGATAATTATATCAGTGTAAAAATGTGTATTTTCTAAGTCAGAAAGTATTTTGCTTGCTTACTTTCTGTAAATTAGTATATATATATTTTTAAATAACATTTTGCTTTCGACTTTTTCAATATGCTCGAGTCCCCCTTGAGAATTTTCATGGCCCCCTAGGGGAACGCACCCCACAATTTGAGAAACGGTGGATTATACTGATGATAACATTTTTATCTATATTTTGAGATAATAGAATTATAAAATTATTAATCCAAAGATAACTGTATGATACATACAAACAGAAACAATTGATCAAATATTTTTAGTCATATAATTATATGTGATCAAAGCACACACGTATCATTACCCGATTTAGTATTATGCAGTTATAAAGTCCCCTCTAGTTGTGAGCATTAGAATTCCTGACCACCTGAATAGCAGTAATGTAACATAAGAGCTCGTCTGGAATTGCCTATCGTGGGAGCAGGTAAACATGCATACTTGCAACCGACAGAAATCATGAAACCCAATGACACAGACGTTTAGGTAAACAACGTCACGTTATCCCTATTGCCTCATCTTATCCTATTATGCGGAAATACGTCGTTCATGTGTTCTAAATAGCTTTGGCCATCTTGATTTAGCTTTACTGAAGCCACCTGTGCCTGAGTACATGATACCACTATTGCAGGAATCTCAAGTGGTTGCGAAGATTTACTTCCTACTGTCGTTAAGATGTCCCTTGTAAATTATAATCCATTTTCTTAAATTCAAAGAGATGGGTTATAAATTATGGGGCTACTGTGGTTTTCTCTGATTAATTCAAGTTATTCAGAAAGCATGTGTTAGTGCAGTGTTTCTCAAACTGTGGGACGCGACCCCTAGAGGGCGTGATGACTCTACGAGGGAGGTGGCGAGCATATTTCAAAGTCGAGAACTAAAGATTATATAAAAAAACTAATAAATTACTGAAAGTAAATAAACAAAATGCGTTCTGACATAATAAAAAATAAAATACACATTTACACTGATGTAATACACTTATGAACGTATCAGTACTGCACAATGTATTTTATAATTAATTTAAAAATACTAAATGAAGAACAACATTAATAATTACCAATGACCCCATGGACTTGTCATACATAAAATTATATATAAAAATTAACCCATATATTTATAATTTGTACAGTTTATAATTAATTCCCTTAATTGATAGTTAAAATTTACGCGATTTACTCTCTAATGTCACCGTTTTCCACGTAGGCGTGCGTATGAGATATATCGTGGGAGGACGCAGAGAAAAGGAATAAATAACAAAAATCCTCTGAAATAAGTAAATCCTTCGCAAATACTGTCAAGGTACTTTTATTACATTCCAAAGCCTTCGAAATAATTTTATGGATAGTAGTGCACATAAAAAATTGTACTTCGGAAAGACGTATATATACGTTCGAGGAAATTAACGCTTTGGCTGAGCGAGATATTATATAAGCTGGTGGCACTTAAGAGGTTAAAGTCGTATTGTAACTTCAGCGTCAAAGAATTGTATTATTGAAATCAAAACATATTTATTGTATGGAGGGGGGGGATTATGATTGAATATTGGTCGCAAATATTGAAACTTTGTGTTGGTGTTTATGTATCTTTATGGAACATTTTGATATATCAATTATATAATGCTAGAAAAATCCTTCATTTAATGTGGTATTCAAGCAATGCGACTAATAAATTCTTTTTAATTAATGCACATTTTACGCTTATTTAATTCTTATAGAATTAATGTCGAGCATTTAAATTCAAGTTCTCAGTATTAGCAATTTTAGTACCTGTACGATCCCTGTCGTGATCTTGTGGTCGCTTGTGTATTTGATTGATTGATTGATTGGTTCATTGAATATTAACGTCGCACTGTTCAGCTACACGAGGGCTTTTGCTTGTGTATTTGAATGCACATAATTAAGGGACACTTTAATAAATCAACACATTTATTTTACGTATCAATTTACTATCAAATCTTTGCTTAAGTAATGAGAGCAGTAAACATAATTATTAACCTAAATATCAATGATAATTATTAAACACACAATTAATATAAAAAAAATATTTAAGTCAATTCCTACTTAGGTCAACAAAGAAAAATTTTATTTTAATTACTTTCAATGAAATAATTACAATTAATACAAATATGTATATACATATGACAGAATAATAATATTAAGTGGAAAAATAGAAAGCGATTTTCCTCTCTATATAGGGTGTTGGACTGTTATTTTTGTTTGTTATTATTTATTGATTTATTAAATTTAATTATTCCAATAAAATAGTATAATAAAAAGAAAACTCATTCTCAGACATAAGGCCATCCCAGGTGTGTTTCGAAACCACGACTTTTGAATTAGAAGTCCAACACGCTGCCCAGCGCGCTACAGGAACACAGCAAACAGTTTTTCTTTTTATATAAGGTGTTGGACTATTACTTTTGCTTGTTACTATTTATTCATTAATTAAATTTAATTAGCGAATTAATATTTGAAAAAACTGTATTAACATCAAATGTCATCCACTGCAAGTTTAAAAAAATGCATCTGAACTTCAGTGGATGAATAAAAAGTATTTTATGAACGATTAAAAACGGGAAAAAGTTAGATATATATACATACGTATAGGGAGATATTGCGAACTAATAGCTGGATTTGAAAAAATTTTGAAACTTCTATAATGATATATATTGTATACTGGTTTGAAAATTCATTAAAAAATAGTATATGCATACACTTTATATGCTAAATGCTTATAGAATTTTATACAAACGCTTCCGATGTAGAATTTTCTTGCATTAAAAATACTTTATTCACAAAATGACAAGCACGAAATTGTCATATAAGGCTAACAGAATAAAAATATTCCATTTCTTTACTTCCGTTTGCTTAAATTTATATATTTTAATGTAGACAGCTCAAAATAGCTTTCAAATTTTACGCAGTTTGTCGACAACGCATTCATTTTCTCGTCATTTAAAGTTATTTTTAGCAAAAAATGAAAGATGACATTTCTACATAACAGCATGCAAATTAGTTTAAGAATTTAATCTATGTTATATCATGCGTTAAAATTCGAAAACGCTGGAAGGCACTCTGAGAAATCAATTTCTGAGATTAAATACAAGATACCTGATATTAAACAGATTATTTTGTATGCTTTGCACTCTGTATTACGTGAGGAAAAAATCGTTTTATATACGATAAAACGCATTTGAGTTTCACAGTAATGGAAAAAAAACAACAGATTCCCTGAAGATATCAAATTTATTTTATTAAAATTATAGCAGAAAGCAACTTTGATTAGTGTCAAAAAGTGTTCCTTGTTCAATAATGTTCCCAATAAAAAAAAAGAAAGCTTTTATAGCACATTACACCTAACTTTTTATTTAAACAAACAATTTTGACATATCTTAAACATATAACAAACGCATTAAACCTAGTTTATTTCTTTTATAGCTGTAGAAAATAAAAAGAAGAGAGCTTAGGTTCGATTTTTTAGAAAATGCAATAATTTCAAAGATAAAATAAAATGTGTATTAAAATGTTTAAGGTATCCAATTACGTTCGGAACCGTGATTTTCAAAAGCACATAAATGGATAATTTTCATCATATTTAGTATCACTTAGATTCGAATATATGTATAAAATTGTTTCAAGAACATTTTGACAAACAAAATTTATTTAAATGCAATATTTTGGCAAAAATGTAACTTAGAATAATCTTTCTTCCAAATGTTCTTCTTTTGTGAAAAATGCTTCTATTAGAATAATATTTTGCCTGCAGATAGTTCAGAGGTTCAACTAGAAATTTTGAAATGTATAACTTAGAAGTGGGTTTATTCATATTTTATAACAGAGGGGAGCAATTTTAAGAAAGAAACGCGAATAATTATTTCAATGGGTGGTAACTCAGAAAATAATGTGAATTTTTTCAAAAATTCTAGTTGAGCCTCTGTAGAGAGGTCTGAGCTATATACAGGCAAAATATTATTATAATAGAACCATTTTTCACAAAAGAACATTTGGAAAAACGATTATTCTAAGCTAATGTTTTACCAAAATATTATATTTAAATAACTTTTTTTGTCAAAATGTCCTTAAAACAATTTTATGCATGTATTCTAATCTGAGTGACACTAAATATCATGAAAATTATGCATTTATGCGCTTTTTTAAAATCACGGCTCCGAACGTAGTCAGATATCTTCAATAGAAACACTTATTTAAAAGGAGTTTTCAAAATAATATTTAAAGTTTTGTAATGACAGGTTACGTTGTGTTTAAATCATATTTGAGAAGTTATTTAAAATTTACTTATGATAGGCCTCTAAGTTTTGAACCACATTCAAATGATTACAGCGGTGACAATTAAGCCTCGCAGATACCTTAGCGGCCAAAGTAGTCAATCAGTCATGGCTACGGACTCGTGGCCAGAGTGTCATGAAGACCAGTACTACTGAAGACCTTCCATGCAGAGGGGCTCATGGATTTAAACCTTCTGATATGAACATCCGTCTATCAGACGGGGATGATTTGCTTTGCTGCCTTTAGAAAACGGTGCGATGTGATTTTTTTGGGTTTGGCTGCCTTGGCATCTTCAGTTAGACTCTACACAGTGAGAAGATCACGTGGTGGTACATGGCTATTTTTTTCAACTCACGATAGGTGCGATTTTTCTTATCTATATTGTCTATCTCAGAACGGATATTCCTATAGTTTTTTCGTGTTTCGTATATTATTTTTAATTGCTTTTACATGAATATAAATAATTTTTAATCAGTTTTTATAAAAATACTAGTTCCAATTCTATTGATAAAAATATTTTGTTGTGTTTGATTTAACCCCACACATCTTATTTGAGCCATACTCAACTTCATGAGCTATAAGGACATTTAAAATAGTCCATAAGGTAATAAAATTCAAAAAACGTTACGTACCCGTATGTCTGATGGATGTTACTCAGTGCGGCAAAAAAAATGATGTTTCCGGCCAGAGGGTTACATCTGTAGAGAATCAAAGTCCTCACATTAGCGTGGTGTAGAAGTTTGAAGAGAGGTGGCGGGACAACTCAGGTGTCGTCTACGTTACTTGACCGAGATTCGGAATTACCAGGTCCATCACAGTGAGTGAGTGAATATTAACGTCGCACTGCTCAGCTACACGAGGGCCTTTGGCGACGAACCGCGTAATTTTGAACCATGGTCAAGTGACGTGGACGACACCTGAGCTAGAATCCCCCTCTCTTAACTACCTCACCACACCAACGGGAGGACCTTTCAGCTCCCGATAGATTTAACGTGCATCGCTGCCCTACACGGCGGGTCTTTATTGGTACTGGACTCTTACTCGTTTTTAGGCCATCCACGTTTCAATACCTTGACCACTCGGCAACTACGACCGCACAATGTCCGTCATAAATAGTCCTCATGAAGCTTCAAAGTGCGAAATTAATAAACCCTCAACTCAACACAGATATCATAGGATTGTAATTTCATTCATATATAGTGACAATTTGAAATAAATGTTTATTCTTCTTAATCCGAGAGCAGGCCCCCACTCGTTTCTAACAGTAATGGTCACGCAGGGTGACTGGGTCACCTCAATACTTTTTTATACTTATTTTTATTGTACAAGATAAAAAGCGCAATTCTGGTGAATAATTTAATTAAGAGAAAGTATGATTTCCTACTTTTAAGGACTTTTCAATTTTTCTTTGTAACTTGAGAAAAATTCTATTCAAACTGAACTAAAACAGCTTCAAGTATGCGTGACCTTATTAAATGATACAAAACACAGATCTTTTTGTTAACAAAAAAGGAAAAATATATACAGGCAAAACTGTCCTGTTTTGTTCAAGTTATTGTAGTTTTATTGTCCTTTGATGATCGACAAATAGCGAAATGATCTTTTTTTCTCTCGCTTGTGTCTTTTTGACAGGGCACAGTATTTCTTGTGTTATACTTGTGACCTTATGTTTTTCTTGATGGATTTTTTTAGATAGCATTTGAAAACTTTCCTTCCAAATCAAACGTTTCATGTCCATCGCTTTTTTCAAGTTCACTTTTCCTATCATGATTACTATTCATTATTTCATCGTATTCTCCCCCTTGCTTGATCAGTTTCACCTTCATCCAATAAAAATCGCAAATGCCCATTTCTTTTTATATATATAATCTGCTCATTTACATTAATAAACCATAAGGAGTCGTACAACACAGCAATCAAAACCACTGTTATTCACACAGAGAAACGCAGCCTTTTCGTAGAAAATATTTTGTAACAGAAGTGGACATGTGGGAGGCTCAATCACCCCAAGTGCCTTGAGATTGTAAGAAAACGTTTGCTATTTCCAAAGAAGAGGAGATAGGTTACAAATATATTTTATTTACAAGAATGTCTTATAGATGGATGCTGATAAGGTCACTTGTGTGGCGGTGTGATATCTATATGAATTAGTAACAACATCACGCGAGGACGATCGTTTTGGCGTGATCAGCTATGTACTCGCGTTCGTTTGGAACGGAAGATACCCAGAACGAACCTTCCTCCTTCATTGGTAACCCTGGCTGTGATATGAACTTGCAATCTTCACGTGCCGCAGTCGTGGCGCCATCTATCCACCGCAAAAGCAGCCAAACCGTCACACGAATGACGCAATTCTCAAGCCGTCTCACACAAATAATGCAATTAAAAACCGTCACACGTGACGCAACTGCTTACATTCTCACCACGAATATGGTATCGTTCGTTTGCCTATACGCCGAAAAACTGGCAGGGGAGTATGTGGTGGTGTGATATCTATATGAGCTAGTACCAACATCACGCGAAGACGATCGTCTTGGCGTGATCGGTAAGGTACTCTCATTCGTTCGGAACGTAATTTACTCAGAACGAACCTTCCTTCCTTCATTTGTAACAAATAAACAGTTTTCCCAGAATTGAAGATTTCGTGAGCCTGGGGTGACTCTGTGCCCCACGTAATCACTCCCAGGTTAATTCAAGTATCAACAATATTTATACACTGTTATCAATTTGCTTATTCAAACCCTAACAAAATAGACATAATGCTTACATTTAAATTAAATCTCTAAGCAGATATCTTGAAAGACTCTGAACTATTTTCCAGTAGATTTACTGAGTGGCACTTTCTTAAGTCAATATCTCCCTTTGAGATCACTGACAATTTCACGGTTTCCACTTGTTGCTGTACTAACTTCTCCTGGCACTTCGTCGTATAACCGAATAATTCTCTTTCCATCCTCTCTTTCATTCTGTTTTAACTATTACGCCCAACTAAATAGATCATAGTTCCTTCCCATGCCGAGATTCTAAAATCAAACAGCATCATAAGTACCGTGTTATACGAAGGCCACCTGTATTTTTTTGCAATAA